GGTCACCCGAGACATATTTAGCGGCGGTGATCTTTGCAAAGCGCACACACTGGCGCGTCACAGGAAAAGGAGTGGCGCTCTCCTGATTGTTCGGTTGCCCTTTCATATTTTGCTAATCTTGAGAAAATGAATGGAGGAAGGTGGCAGGGCAGGAGGGAGGCAGGGAGGTGGAAAGTCAATCAGAGAAATGAAGGAAGGAAAGGAGCAAGCGATCGAGGCCCTAATCACAACACATCAACATGCTGTAATTGTTTTAGCGCCTAAATATAGGCCGACCTAATAACTATTGTCGGATCAAAATCACCTCCACACGCAAACAGCAAGACATCTGAAGGTTAGGCTGCAGCCTTGCATTGGGACAATTATGGGAAAGAGCTTGTGCAAGAAGTCTCAAAATCCACCTCTAGCATTCACTAATCCAAACAAAAATCAAAGCGTAAAACTGAAGAGTTGTTTCTTGAGAAATTAAACATCAGCTTGCCCTTTGTTTCCCCTCAAGGTTTGGTGCTGATTAAAGAAACAAGATTCTGTTCTGCTCTGGATTTTTAACATTTTTCTTACCGCTGTGCTTCATTGGTACTCATTGCATTGCTTAGTTTCTCCTCTCCAACAACTGCGGCGTAAAAACAGTGGACAACGTTGGAGATGACGCTAATGAATGTCGTTTCTTTTACCGACATTACTGCAGAAAAGAAGAAACGCATATGAACCGAATGAACATTGATCGGTAGCCGCAGTGCATTTACAGCCTATTACACGTCACGTTTAGTTTTACAGAAGCATTATCCTCCTGCGAATCAATACTCTGTGTTTAATACCAAGCGGACCAGTTGTCGCAGCTGCATTTCTGGGCAGGTTCACGTCAGGTTACGCTGCCGATTCAATGCATAAACAATCAAGCTTAGGCTGGTTAGCTGTTTCCCCTGTTTCCTGTGTTTGTGCTAAGCTGATTAAGCTCTGGAAGTAGCTTCATATACTCTATAGGCACTAGAATTGCATCGACCATTTTACCTAATTTTAAGTGTATTTAAAGAAAATGACTTTAGCATCGACGGAGGAGATTGACTGTAAGTATTGCTAAAGACCAACCTGTACCTAAAAGATCACGGATATAAATTGAATCAGCACCTAATGGCACAGACGCTGCAAAGATTAGCTCCTGTCATGTTTTCTGGCTTGATCTCATGGCGAAGTACGATATTTATCACTGACATTGCGCTTAAATGATATAATTTAGACTACAAGATGAAAGAAATGTGCTGTGAGTCAGATACTAGTCAGATCCTGGTGTGTAACATCATAGTTTGAAGATCCTGCAAAAGCCCTTATCCTGCTTTTGAGAGTCTAATCTACAAACTACAGTGCCTTACTAGAAATCGGAAGACTTTAAGAGGACATAATGATTCCCTGAAACAATAATAAGAAGTCTGATGTGGCAGACAAACTGTTTTGTTCATCTGGCCATCGGTTCCTGCCGATAAGATGGGAGATGTTTAATCCAGCAGATGCAAATGCAGCATTGTCTATGCAGCTGCAAATCTATTTCCATCCTTGGTACTTACCAAAATAGTAAATTTGCTTGATGCGGTGGTATCTGCTCAGAAAGCTGGATGCTGGACTCGTGTGCAAAACAACCATGTAGAAGCCAAATCTTGAGCACAATAACAAAATATACACTTTAATTTGTCAAGGTAAATGCTTATTTTGTCTGTTTCTGAGCTGTATTTCCAGCTACCACACATTTTAATCCCACGAAACACAATCTTCTGAGCTGATTTGATGTTTTTAGAATTGATTTCAATGCAAAATGTGTCGTAGCATGGAATGTCTTCATGACACCAGGATTCAGAGTTCATTATTATCCTTGGACACAACAGTTGGTCTGTTCAATAATTCTTCTCATGTTTTCTGTCATATCACATCATCTGCATCTGCTGTTTGCCCAGCTGCCACGGAGCTGCAGATGTTCGAGTTTTTTTTCTGAGCTCTTCGAGGATTTCTTGTTCACATTGGCTGAAAAGTTGAGGTTTTAAGCCAACAGCGGAAAACAGTCGAGGGAAACACTCTGATCATAAAGTGCACTTAGCAGAATCTTTACACTAGTTTACATTCTGGCTAACCAAATAAATGGATCTCATTTCCACCAGACTATATTATTCCCCGTGTTCTGGCAGCGGTACATCAGATTAGTGCTTCTGTAATTGTTTCTGTGTCATTTTCTTAAAAGGCTCGATAGATCAGAACGCACTGCGGCAAAACACAGTCAATTCTGAGTAAAGGGCGCGACTTTCCGAGCAGGAAAAGCTGTGCTGTCAGCTACCTGCCCAGGTAATTCACAGACCAGTGCGTCAAGTTCACAAGAAAAAAGGTGCGGGAGTGCATTCTGGGAGATGTAGGAAATGTGGGGGAAAGTTCCTCGGTCTGGGAAAAAAAAAACAAAACAGTAAATTAAAGTAAATTATAGCACTTTATCACAACATGACTCCTGGAAAACTCTCACCCAGACTCATTTGGAGCAGTAATGAGCCTGCAGCTGAGTGTGCAGTGATGAATAGAGCGAGCTGTGTTTGGGCTTAGAGATGAATGGAGCGCCGCGGCTGCCATTACTAGCTAAATATTACACACCGAAACACACAGATACACAAACCGAGCAGACGGCCGGAATATGTTAGGAATGCGCTCTCAGAGATGACCGACCTTCACACGGACACACGCACCACGTCATGCGCTCGGCTACACAACTATGTGCCAAAACACACACTTTTCACCCCCCACGCGCGCGCTTTTGCCCCGATCACATGCTGACACACTCGGTGAAACATTTGCTCGCGAAGAACCGCTTCTGTGTAATGCGACTTTGCAAGGCTTTTTCCACACACACACACACACACACCTACACACTCACACATACACACCCCGTCTTGCTCAACAGGTCAGGATGTTTCACAAGTCGGGACCTGCAAATCGAGGATATGCCTGTGTGCCTTACAAGTCTTCTGAGTGTGTGTTTTACATTACTAGCCGGCAATAAAACGTTAAAAAGACGCGTACACAGGCTCGCAGACAAAGTTGTAGTCTCATTACTGCGGTCTCCAAGGAGTCACTATGGCGATGGCAGAATGAAACCATGGCCTGTGGGAGAGGAGGCGTGTGTGCAGGAGTGTGTGTGTGTGTGTGTGCGTCGGTGTGTCCTACAGACCCAGAAGTGGTTTATTCCCCCAGGAAGTTAGCTATTCTCCACAGGCCAATCAGAGGACAAAGTTTGAGACAGAGTTTAATCCAATTGGTCCAACACTTCTGACCTTTATTGCTCGCGACCAATCTCGGGGGAGCAGACAGCCTGCAGGGCCGGAGTGAAATAATGAAAAAGGAATGAGGAAGGCGTGAGTTTCTACACTTTGAGGAGGGATAGTGACTTGATGTCTTTGTTGTTGTTGTTTTTTTTTTTTGGGCTGGAAAATAGAGCAAAGAGGGGAGAAAAAAAAGGAGACAAATCAGACCTAAAAAGAAGATTCAAGACAAATTGTGAAATATAAATATGTCACAGCAAAGCCAGCTGAGGAGATAAAGAGTGACATAGATGAAGCAGAAGAGGGAATGAGTGTGGGGCTAAACAAATATTTACTCAGGAGGATGCACGTATCCTCCGCTGTGTTTATAGCTCGGTTTATGACCACCCTCCTGTCCGGCCTCTCATTTTTGTCTCACCTCTCTCAACAACCGTGTCCTCCGGGTTAAAGGTGCCGCTAGTCCTTTCTTAGTACAAGATTGTTCTCTCGTTTATTTGCATGCGTGCCGCAAACATGCAAATATGCTGTGAAAATACCTCTTAAGTGTCCTCGTGCAGATTCCTCGGCTGTGTCTCTCCTTGTCTTTGTGTCTCACACGGAGTTCGTATGTTGTGTTCTGTGTCTACAGAAGCAGAGAAGTCTGATAAAAGATAAATAAAAGAGGACTTAATGGAAGCAGGAGAGAGGCCAGACGGAGCACAAGCTTTTAGCCTGAGGAATTAATTTCTTTATTCAAGTTTTCTGCTTTTTCCCATCCACCCATCCAAAAGCAGACGTTTGTTCTGTACGCAGTTCGGCTCACGGCTTCTTACATAAGAAGGAAACAGCAGTAAATAATATACAACAGTTGGAGTACATCTAGTCACTTTTTTGGTGACAGTTATGAGTCTTTATTTCATGTAAACAAGTTGAGAACAAGTGCAGTCAGAACACAGTTGATCATTTCACAGACTTCCCACCTGCCTTTCCAATCACGTGACGAATGTATACACTTTTATTTTAACTCTCTGAACCTCAAAACCTGCTGGTAGGTTCAAAAGGCAAGCTTAAAACTGTGATGTTTTCTCATATCTCTTTGTTCTGCATGTTTCATTTTAAAAAAATCACCAAAAATAAATCGTTTGTTCTACTTACATCCCGTAAAAAGCAAAAAATTCTGTGTTCCCTAACGCAACTGAAAACAGTGGCACTTGCAAAAATGTTAAATGACACCATTAAAAAAAAGTAAGTAAATAGTCAAAGAAATTCAGCTCTCACTTGTTCCTTTTGTATGATTTATGACGTTATAAATGTGTCTTGCTGCACAGAATGTGGGAGCAGAAGCAGAAAATGTGCAGAAACTTGTTGGAGTTTAATGGCTCATGTTTTACTGGTGCCACATACAGAGAGAGTCCTTTTTAAAAAAAAAAGTTTTCTCCCATTTTACACTCACAAATAAAATGAAAGTGCGTAGGACTCGATATGTGTCACCGTCACCACTGTGTATTTTAATTAGCACAAAGTACATTTGAGGCTGCTGAGGGGGGAATGAATGGCTGAGGACAGGAATTCATAGATATCCATGCAGGACATGTTGAGACATTTAACTTAAAACCATGACACTAAAGTATAAAGTCAGCCACCAAACGCCTACAATACTTTGTTACCTCAGTAGATGAATTACAATCATTTGTCATGACACTGATCCTTCCACGTTTCTCTTTCTTTTAGGAGGTCGAGTGTCTGGACATCAGCACCATCAGGGACACCAGAACGGGAAAGTACGCCAAACAGCCAAAGGTGGGTAAATGTGTGTTTGCGTGGGAAGAAAGAAGCCGTCACCTCCTGCTGTCGATAACGTTTGTCCTCAGTGATGCTCGAGTGTCACCGAAAGATGCGGCGGGTGCGAGCGTTTCCTTCCTTCGGCTGACGTCGCAAAGGTGACGGAGCGTTAATGAGGCGGCTGACAGATGGACCGTCAGACAGGAACTGATAGAACGTTGGCGAGGAAGTCGTTGTGCAAGAGCGCGGAGATGGCAGCCCGAAACCAAAACAGTTCAAACATATGGACGTGTTGACACAGTTCAAGCGCGAGGACGAATACGGCAAAAATAAAAGATTGTTTGCTGTGCTGAGTCGGTCGACATGCAGCTGTGCTTTTTATATGATCGCTTCAAACGCGGTCTGTCACTGAAAAGACAACATGTCGTTATGCAACAAAAGCTGCTTGTTTTAGATTACAGTAAGTGCATCTGTCAGCGCCACTAGTTTTTTGTTTGATTTGAGATCGCTGCCTCCACCCAGTGTCCTGTGGTCACAGCATTAAAACTATTTTACAGCTGCTATCATCGGGGTTTTTATGTGCTATGAGTTACGGCTAGAGGATGTGCAAAAGGAATCGCATTATTCTGACGAGAATTTTTGCATTTCTTGTCCACAAAAATGATATTTGCTGCAGTGTGTGCCAAACTAGCATGAGAATATAATCAGTTTTCAACAAATTGCAGCTCCTGTGGTTTAAATATTGTCCTTACTGCGATTATGATTGCTTGCTCTGTGAAGCATTTTAGCATCTTTTCGCGTGTTGTTTCTGATACATAGCGAACAACTTCCCCGGTTTGACTCATTCTCACTCTATAGACCAGACTGAAGCTAAAACAGCAGTGAAAGTTTGCCATATATTCATCAGACAGGCAGAAAAATGACTTCAGATTAATGCTGGATTTGCAAATACGCAACAAGTTTTGCCTTTTGATCTTTACGGGATGATTATATATCAGATTGTGTTTCCAGCTTCTTGGTTAATGGCAGCTAATGCAGGGTTTTAGAGTTGAACGGCAACATTTACATCCAGATGCAGCGCTTCTGTCAGTCTGGAAATATCACAGAACACACCGAGAACACTTGGTAGAAAGTAGCTCCAAAGAAAAGCGAGGTCTGTGAGTTATCTTTCGGAGCATGGACGCCTTCTCTGGAAGGCTGTTGAGCTCCTGCTGCTCCAAAATGCTGCTTCGGCGGCATAATTCTTCATAAACAGCCCTTCTGGCTAATTCACTTAATCGAAAATGAAAGAGAGCCATGATGGAGAAAGATAATAATTGACAGAAAGACATTGAGTGTCAGAGAGAGAGCTGGCGGTACGGAGACTAAAAAGGAGGAAAGAGTCGGTCGGTTAATTAGATCAGAGCGCTGCACCGCATGCATCACATTTACTGTTCTCAGGAGACGGACGCATGGGCGAGAGTGTTCACTCGCCCGCTCGGCGCTCGAACCGGTGTTGAGTTCATTATCTGTCACGCATAATGAAACATCCTGAAAAGGTCCGAATGTGTGTGTGTGTCAGGAGCCGAAGGTGCGGGACGTGCTCGGCTTCGGGAAGGAAAACGTGGAGGGGAAGCTGGTAACCGTCGTCCATGGCAACGACCTGGTCAACATCTCCTTCCTTAACTTCCAGGCCATGCAGGAGGACACGGCGAAGGTAACCATGGAAACCGCCATCCTATAATCCACTCAAATTACTTAAATTTTCCGATGCTATTCCTTCCTTCCTTCCTTCCTTATGTCCGGCCCGGTGGACTCTCTCTCTCCGTGGGCCATATGCTGATTACTCACTTTACGATGTTGACATGAAGCCATGTGCATGTTTAGGAGTTGTAAAGAGGGATTATTTCCTGAGAGCGTGTGTGTGTGTGTTTTACATTGTATATAAGAACTGTTTCACTTAGTTTTGACGTTAGACGAAGAGTCAAACAAGCCTGTTTAATCCTCTCGCTCTTATCTGTGTGTTTCCAGATTTGGACAGATGAGCTGTTCACGTTGGCCACAAACATACTCTCCCAAAACGCATCACGGAACACCTTCCTTATCAAAGCGTAAGACTTCAACTCTACATCTTGACATTATGCAGATTTTACATTGTTCTTTTATTTAAAAAAAAAAAAAAACACACTTCTTTCTCTCTGTGTGTCTCAGGTACACAAAGTTAAAGCTCCAAGTGAATCAGGACAGCAAGATTCCAGTAAAGAAGTGAGTAACACCCTCACCGACCACTTTTTCAACTCCAGACAGAGTTCTGAACGCGAGTGCTCTCCACTTCTTCTTTCTTTTCCTCTTCTCTGTCTCTCTTCCACTTTCTCTCTCTCGTCTCTCCTTCAGTTAAGCTCCAGTTTATCTCTCTTCAGTTGTTTTGGTTGGCTGTTTTTGTGGAGAACAGTGAACTTAGCATGACGTGTACCTCTTTGCTTCTGTCTTTCAGTATTCTCAAGATGTTTTCCGATAAAAAGAGAGTGGAGACGGCTCTGGAGCAGTGTGGCCTCGTCAATAACAGGGTAATCATTGAATGAAAATCAATCACCGATCACAGGGCTGTTCAAGTGTGGGCACTGGATTGGTTCATGCATAACAACGGCCAGAACACAGTCAGAACTCTGGCTCTTCCCCTGGGGTGCTGCATACAGTTGCATTCTTTGCATGCCATTGAAACGTATAGAAGGCAACAAAAAGGGCTGCAGGCCTGCAGACGACAGGCCTTAATATGTGGTCATTTACATTTGAATTAGCTGTCATTGTCAAATGCCAGTTTTAGGTAAGCTTTTTTGTTTGGACTAAACAAGCTAAGCTACCTGGCTGCTGGTGGTAGCATCATTATTTAGCATTTAGCCATGACAGGGATATATATATATATATATATGTAACTTTCAGCAACAAGCCAAACAAACATATTTTCCAAAATGACCTTTAGCCTCATGTTGCCCCCTGAGATAAGCATTAGCTAGCAAGTTAGCAGAGAAATGGTGCGCTATAAGTAGTCAATAGATTGTTTAAATGATTAGCTGACTAAACATTTTAAATAATTTCCTGAATTTAATGAAGTTGGATAAAAAGATGGAATGGAATAGCTAAAACAACAACAACAGTTAGCATAAGCTAGATAAAATAATGAACAACAGGTAACTTAGCTAATTAGAATAATGGCTAAACAGTTGAGACAGTTAACTAAAATAAAGAATAAAAAGTTACCATAGCTAAAATACTGGATAAACAGTGACACAGTTAATTAAAACAGGGCTAAACAGCTAACGCAGCTAAAATAATTAGTAAACAGTTGTCGAGTAAAGTAAAGATAATGGCTAAACACGTGACATCATTAGCTGAAATGACGGATGAACAGTTACTGTAACTAAAACGTTGGATAAACAGTTGACATGAGTAACGAAGATAATGGATAAACAGTTAACGCAGCTAAAAACGATGGATAAACAGTTAGCCGAAAGTAATGGATGTACTGTTACCTCAGCTGAATACAGTGAATAAGCAGTTGGAATACTTAATAAGACTAATGAATAAACAGCTACAACCATTAGATCAAACTAAGAGATGAAGGATGTAGCTTCTGCCAGTAGCGCTGTACCAATTCCACTTTAATGTAGTGCTAGCTAATGCTATGTTTTAATGAAATGTAAACTGTTGCAGTAGATGTAAAAATCTTTTTTTTGCTCCTTGTAGTTTAGTTTAATAGTTGAAACAGTTTGGAGTCGTAGTATTTTTCCCTTTTTTTGCTTCCCAGGAGAGCATCTGTTGGTAAAATACTAAAAATATTATGTAATTCTTTCAAACTTGAGAGTCCAATAATAAATGCTGCTTGTCTCTGTTGCATTGTTAAACTCTTTGCTTGTATCCGCCGTCTCGGTACCTCAGCCATGTTTTGGGGATTTCAGGTAAAACAAGGTTCCTTGTGTCTCGGTGAGTCAGTGTAATCTCACCTAAAAATCAGTTTGGAAGTCACAAGACGTTTTTTTTTTTGAAGAAGAGATCAGATGGCGCAAACTGTGCTGTCAGCATTTCTCCTCTTATTACTGGACTGTGGTGCCTCCTACTGGTCACACAGAGGAAGACATGTGGAAAAGATGTGAAATGCAAGCTGTGGCTCGTTGAGTTGTCGATGCTTTACGGTGTTTAATAAGCTCATTGACACGGAGCTGATAGTTTAGAGCGCTTTAGTGTGCAGAATAAGGGTGTATTTTGTTTTTTAAATGGATAGCAGGTGAGTAAGTTGGGCGTCGGTGTGTTGTTGAGGCAGACGGCTGCTGAAAGTCTGACTGTTCACAGGATCAAACCGTCTCTGCAACAACAGAGAAACTAAATCTGTAAATCTGACGACTTCAATGTTGAGGAAATTCATCAACAAGTCAGGAGTTTAAAGTCTCGATCAGCAGTTAAGACTACAAGTGTAAACTTTTGCACTGTATTCTGTCTGGTCGTTCATCTTTCCTTCTGTATCTTCCAACTCATCTTTGGTGCAGTCAGAGGGAATAAAGCCAGACGACTTCACGTACGAGGCCTTTCAGAAGTTTCTCGACAGCTTGTGTCTCCGACCTGAGATCCAAAGCATCTTTGAAGAAAGGTATGCGACACTTCAACAAACACACGCTGTGATTTTTTCCCTTCTGTTGATGCCATTTCATTTTTTCTGGTTGTATTTTTCTTAGTGAGCCCTGCACACTTGTTGATACGTTTCTGTCTTTGCTCCAGTGGCTCCAAGAGGAAACCTTTCATTTCTCTGGACCAGTTAATGGACTTCATCAACCGCAGGCAGCGGGACTCCAGGCTGAACGAGGTGCTGTATCCTCCGCTGAAACGGGAACAGGTCCGACAGATCATGGAGAAGTACGAGACCAACACGAGCCAACTGGAGAGAGGTCCGTAGCTCTGTTTACACTGTGAGATTTTTGACTTAATGATCGTGTTTATTAAGTTGTTTAAAGAAGTGACCAGGACACAGTGACTTTTCTTAAACTGCTAAACAAAATACCGGTGCAGCAGAGACTCAAGGCGAGATAACAAGAATTCCAAGTTTATGCTCCTGTTTCTATTTTAATGTTCTATCTGTTTGTCCTGAGGCTGGCCTATTGATGCCTGGATAATTATATGTTTATGGGCATCATTAATTTCCTGGACTTTTATTACAACGAGGTGGAAAAGAGGTTATGCTCTTCTCAAATTCTTGAACACAACTGGGCTGCATCTATTTCACTTCTATTGTAGAACGTCCGGCATTCGGATGTTTAATTAATGCTCCTCTACGTGTTTTTCCTGTGGTCACCTGTGGATAAAATGCACAAAACCTAGAAACAAATGGAACCATGAGCAGCTCTGCCAGGACTTTGCTAAGCCACAGCCTGTAAGGTGACACTCCATCCAGCCCACAGTGATCAGACCTGACCTGGAGCTGCCCTCTCAGCCTCTTCATGTCTGCCCTATAAAAAAAACAAAAAACTGGAGCCTTTGCACATTTAGGCAATTTTCTGGTGGAGCAGATAACATAAATGTGGTCGAGCAGCCTCTGGTCATTAAGCTTCAAATCAAATACTTTGGTTGCTGTTAGCAGATGAATGCTTCTCAGTTCGACTTGAATAAAACCACAAAAACAAGTCGGACTGCTCTTGTGCTCTCTTGCAGACCAGATCAGTTTGCAGGCTTTCAGTCGGTACCTGGGAGGAGAAGAAAACAGCATCGTACCTCCAGAGAGGCTGGACGTCATCGACGACATGAACCAACCGCTGTCTCACTACTTCATCAACTCCTCACACAACACATACCTCACAAGTACGCCAACAAGTTTAATCCTTCATGACAATATCTAGCTTCCTGTTTGTTCTTTTGCATTCAAACCTGTATCTGTGTGTCCTCAGTGGGTCAGCTGACCGGTCCGTCGTCGGTGGAGATGTACAGGCAGGTGCTGCTGACCGGCTGCCGCTGCGTGGAGCTGGACTGCTGGAAGGGTCGGCCGCAAGACGAGGAGCCGTACATCACCCACGGGTTCACCATGACCACTGAGATCCCCTTTAAGGTGGGAGCAGTGTGTCATTTTATTGTTCAATTCCCTTTAACCTTTTTGTTTAATTTAACTCTGACAGCTTGATTAGGTTGAGTCTGTTTAAGTTATTGCTCTCGTATAACACGCGGCGGCTTAATAAGGGCATAAAGTGCTCATGAATTTTTCCCACAAGCACAAGTACATGTCTGTTTTCCACTCCGAGCGGCATCATATAGAAGTGACGTCATTAAATAAACCTCCAGTTTATGGACGCTTTTACATCTGCATACAACAGGCATGTTTATGGAGGCATTAAGCTTAAGAAGTCCACTCCACAGATTTACAGTTGTTTCTATATACATTTAAGAGATGCTGTGGATTCAGACGGGTTCATTATGGAGGCAGCAGCCACAGATTATACACAAATATTCAGTGTTGCTGGGATGTTATTAAAATGATTGCATGACATTAAAAAAATGAATAAAATGAGCCCCCCTTTGCTTATATGACTGCACGAAGATCTGCTGTGTGATTTAAAACAAACACATTTTTGGTTTGAAGCATTTTGCCATTTTGTTCAGTTTTTAATTTTTCTCATGTTTCCCCGACTGCAGGAGGTGATTGAAGCGATAGCAGAGAGTGCTTTCAAGACCTCACCGTACCCCGTCATCCTCTCCTTTGAAAACCACGTAGACTCGTGAGTTGTGTCAACCATTATAGCGTGTATGCTCAGCAGTATTCAGATCAGCTCATTAGCCACAGGCTGTGTGTGCTCAGTGATTGAGCCTATTTGCTACCAGACAAGATGCAGAATTCAAGGCTTTACCTGGAATATTAGCTCCAAATGTGCTGTTAAAATGGCAGGTGGTGACTGAAGGCACGTCATTTGAGGCCGTTACTCCGTCGTGGCACATCCAAGTAAAACTTTTCTTTTGTCCTGTCAGAGCCAAGCAGCAGGCCAAGATGGCAGAGTACTGCAGGACAATCTTCGGAGACGCTCTGCTCATAGATCCACTGGAGAAATATCCGGTAAGACTCATGTCCAGTCACATTAACTTCACTCAGGTTGTTTTGAAAGATGCTTTTTGGCTTGTTTCAGTGTGGTACAAAGCTGGTGTCTGTGCATGTGAAAGAGCCACAGCGAAGGGAGTTGTTTGCTCCTCACCTGCCTGAAACACCTCATATAAGGTCCAGTTTAAAGACACAGGAACTACAACGAAGCGTTTCAGAAAGAGGTTAAAAGAGGAGCTATGTACAGCATAAGAAAATATCTGTGTTTTGAGTCCAGTACACTCCAAAAATGCATTTTTTTTTAAACCTGTAAATGTGCATGATATTGGCTCTTTATGTTCATTTGCCATCTTTAAAAAAAAAAAAAAAAAAAAGCTGTTTCAAGGTTTTTATACTGCAATAAATGCGTTTAAGTGAAGCCTCATTGCTGCTCCTCATGTACACTGATCACACACTGATATCTTTTCACTTCCCCGTCACGGTGCTAATCAACTTGCAAGGCATCAAATAGGCTCAAACACCTTGTGACTCATAATCATGATGATGTGAGTAGATATCTCATGATGCACTTGCTTTCATAACACACAGCACAGTTCTTTAAATACAGCAGCCTCGATACAAGAAACCTTGACAAGATCGTGCATCTACTGTACAAGATGCAAAAGATTTCCATGCATATGAAAAGGCAAGCGATCAGTGTTCTGATTTTTAATTAAAGTAAGACACAAGGGCAGAATATTCTATAAAATGTGCCAGACGTATGTGAACACGGCTGAAAACCTCAATTTATTCTTTCTTGTTTCAAGTCACACTTGTTAAATGCTTAAAATCTGATGAGACGAATCAATCTGAAAGTGTCTCTGAAGGCAGTTCGTGACAGAATTTGAAATAAACAGTCATCTTTTCTTCTAAAACAGCATTTAAAAAAAATTGATTTGGGCTGATTTCAGGGACATTTGGCTTTAGTTATCAAACACTGTGGTTGTCCCTGTGACTCCTGCGACATTCCAGCATCACATTCGGGTACTACTTTGTATTTGAAAGACCAGACATCGACTGTGATCTTGTTCACCGCGCCTCGTGATGACTCTTGGTTATTCACCCCAGATATTACATGAAGGGATGTGGGTTTTTCTTTTATCCCTTGATCTATTCTGGTGAGTCAAAGTCACATTCCTGGTTTTCTATTATTTGCTAACCACCTCCGCTCACTATCTTTAAAGTCTCTGATTGAATCTTATCTGTGTATCAGAAAGAAGTTTTTTCCCAAGAAAAATAAACTCTACACAGTTGTCTCCTCTAGAAGCCTCCCTCCTCATTCACAACAACCAGGCATTTTGAAGCCAGAGACGGATTCACAACAAGAATATTGATCACCCTGCAAGCTGACAGGATTGTTTTTTTGGGTTTGTTACGTCTGAAAGCCCAGATTTCAGAATCCTTGTTTTTGAGACTGTCATTGGTACACTGCAGTTTCAAGGTTTAAATGCTCAGCTCCTTCCCTCCTTATTTTGCTCATGATGTGGCTTCTAGCATCTAAAAGGACACCATATGGACATGCTAACAAGCTAATAAAGCTTGATTTTCACTAAGGGGGGGCATTAAATCTTCCAAAGTTGGGTAATATGACTGACGATTGTCATCTTTGCGACCCTAGCTGGTCCCAGGTCAGCCGCTCCCCTCGCCGCAGGAGATGCTGGGGAAGATTCTCATTAAAAACAAGAAGAAGCATCACCACCACCGACCCTCCGAAGGCGGCGGCAGCATTAGACGCAAAGAGCTGGGGGAGCAGTCGTCACCCAACAACGGTAGGTGCAGACAACCACCTGTATCTCCTGCAGCAGCGTCCGGCTTTCTTCAAACACTGAAGCAGCTGATTTACCTCCAAACTGATCCTTTCTGCTTGTAATATAAAATAAAATGAGCCTCTGTAGTGTCGTACAATCACAGGGCGATGGCGGCGTATGATTAAGAGCTATGATCGAGCTCAAAGTGAGGTTGATGCAAACCTCCATCTGCACATTCATAACTAAATTCAAAAGAACCAAATGAAAACTGAGAGCTAGCTGTTGCCTGTGTAGACTGCCCTCTGACTGACAACGAGGGAAGCCAGCTGTCCAATGGTGATGAAAAGCTGGCTGAGAGGATGATCAAAGACTTGGAGCCTCGCAAATCCATTGGTGGGTTGAAGAAGAATGGAATCAATGGGTAGAAAAGGTGGCGGCGTGTTGTACGGTTTGTTACATTTTCAAGCTGTTTTTCTTGCGTCCCGACAGGAGGCGAAGGAGAAAGCGAGGAGGAGGAAGACGACGAGTCCGTGACGGAGCTGAAAAAGCCGAACTCCGACGAGGTAAGAGCCGTCGGTGGAGGATGGATGGACTGTTTGGCTGGCTGATGGGCTGATTGATGGATTGGTCGTATCTGCCTCCCTCAGGGTACCGCCAGCAGTGAGGTGAACGCCACGGAGGAGATGTCGACTCTCGTCAACTACATCGAACCTGTCAAATTCAAGTCCTTCGAGGTGGCAAAGAGTAAGTGTATGATGGAGAGGGAGACAAAAAAAAAAAAGTGTGTGTGAGGGGAGCAGACAAGCCTCGTTAGCTGAAAGCACCTTTACTTTGTCGCTCATTAGGCCGACAGATTGTCTGTGTGTACCCACTTATGGATAATGATCGTTCTTGTCACACGTATCTGTCACACTTAGATGATCTTGATAAATTTCTGTACTTGTGTCAGTTTTTGTAATGTTCTTTTTTTTTTTTCTCTGATTTTTTTTCCCACCCCTTTTTGTCCACCAGAGAGGAATAAGTTCTTTGAGATGTCGTCGTTCGTGGAAACCAAAGGCATGGACACCTTGAAGAGCGCCCCTGCGGAGTTTGTTGAGTATCCTTAGCAGCTTGTCATTCTGTGAAAGTTTATTCTGAGGATTGTTTTTGCTCAAAAAGTCCAACTTTGTGGTTTCATGAGACGTTATTTGTTGAACCACTTCCTCGACCCTCATGCAAGCAAGCAGCATCCATCCATCCATCCATCCATCCATCCATCCATCCATCCATCCATCCATCCATCCATCCATCCATCCATCCATCCATCCATCCATCCATCCTCACTCGGGACCAAGCAGGATATTAAATGTTATTTAGTGGAGCTGCTGGTAGGGAGATTTTGTAGGCAGTGTAACTTTTTCCTCTTGTTTCTGGTCTGTATGGTAAGCTAAGCAAACTGGTTGTGACTGCAAACTAGACCCTCTCCACTTGTACTCATATTCACAGCTGATTTATTAAGGCGTACGGTATAAAACAGTAGACACTTATGGAGAGAATTACAGTCGTGACTTGACATTCCGACCCTTAAAAATCCAAAAACCTTGCTATCCAACGGGTTTTTAGGAAAAACGAATGGAACTCATAAAACATAGCCTTAACATACCAACAGCCTTGGATTCTGACTCCGACATGACATTTTTTGTCACAAATAAGGATGACAGCTTATTATCTGACTGAACAATCTGACAGATTTACTTACCTTTGATGTCAACCGATGAGCCCATGCAAAAGCGCACCAGTCAAGTCAGCTTGAAATCCAGCGATGGGTAGTGTTCTAACAATACACGAGTTATTATAACAACTATAAACAGTAAATATTAACAACAAATGAGCCTTCAAGCATCAAGCCCTCCTTGTATCTCGACCTCCGTCTTGACGATCCGACATAAAAGAAGGTTTTACATTCAGTGTCGGATTATCATTCCTAGCATCTTTCATGATGAATACAATCTAGTGTTGCATGTTGTCGACTAGTCGCCATCAATGCAGACTTGCAGAGGGCTTTATTAGTCACTTCCACTCCCTAATAGTCAGTTTGTGAGAGCACTTTTTGTGGCTGGGCCTCCACGTGAAGTGGAAGTGGGTAGTTTCAGAAAGGCCTTGTAGCTTTGTGTTTAACGGTTGGACATGAGAGCAGCATCGTTGTCTTATTTAACTCCAAGCAATAAGGCAAATAAGTGTGCATCAGCTTATTGGTTTAAGTTGCACAGAAGTAAAACATCTGTAATCGCTGCGTGAGGGGAAAATTCTTCACAGCTGAAAAATCTCTTGCCCGGTCGACCTTACATCACCGATCATCAGAAAATGATTTTTGTCTGGTGGAGTTTACACAGTGTCATAAATCCGCGGTGCACATGTTCATCTGTACGCGGCGTTAATCTTTAACAGCGCTCCTCCAGGTACAATAAGAACCAGCTGAGTCGAATCTACCCCAAAGGAACGAGGGTGGACAGCTCCAACTACATGCCTCAGCTCTTCTGGAACGTGGGATGCCAGATGGCGGCGCTGAACTTCCAGACTCTCGGTAAGTTGTTTTTTTAATACGCTGATTGTTTATACTTTCAGAACTTTCATGCAATGTAGCATAATTAAAGATTTAAAGTTTGGCTGTCTGAAGCTGGCAGATACCACAGTGAAGTTGATAATACAAAGAGCCTTCTTCACACAGGAGCCAAGTTAAAACCTCTCAGTCTTTAGCCCTCTAAATCCTTCCCTTCTCAACTTCCTTTCTCATTCCCATCCCTCTCTTTGCAATCTTTGTTTTGTCCCTCTCTCTCTCTTAGACGTTCCCATGCAGCTGAACATGGGTGTGTTCGAGTACAACGGCCGCAGCGGCTACCTGCTGAAACCAGAGTTCATGAGAAGGACGGACAAACACTTTGACCCTTTCACAGAAAAAATAGTGGACGGGATAGTCGCCAATACGGTCAAAATTAAGGTACAGACAAACTGTGAGATCCATGTGGCTTCTGTGAATAAACATCTGTAAGAGTCGTTAGAACAAATCTGTATAATTGAACCTCCACCAGGTGATCTCAGGCCAGTTCCTGACAGATAAAAAGGTGGGTGTGTACGTGGAAGTGGACATTTTGGGACTTCCTGTCGACACAAAGAGGAAGTACAGAACCAAACCGTCCAATGGGAACTCGCTGGACCCCGTGTGGGATGACGACATGTTCGTCTTCAACAAGGTAGCTCGCAGATACAGATCTTTTCTGCAATCCTTCATCTTCTGACTCCTACACGCTGTCTAAACTTCTCCCCCTGTGTCAACACTCTGCAGGTGGTCCTCCCTACGCTGGCCTCTCTGAGGATAGCTGTGATTGAGGAAAACGGAAAGTTTATTGGACACAGGATTCTCCCCGTGTCGGCCATTCGACCTGGTGAGCGCACACACAAAAGCACACACACTCTCTTCACATCAAGAATTTACAAGAGCTGCTTTATTTTCCGTGAGCTGAAGAAGACTTCCACGAACTAACATCCTTCATGGTCTGCCTTTTACCATCCAGCACCGCGAGGCATTAGTCAGTTAATTGTTTCGCCCTTCTCTCCAGGCTACCACTACATCAACCTGAAGAATGAGCTCAACCAGCCGCTCCTGCTGTCCTCTCTCCTGGTTTACACTGAGGCTCAGGACTACATCCCTAATGAACACCAGGGTAAGAACAGCGCTTTAACAGCACCTCTGTGCAGATCGCACCACACAGTAGGACCCTTAGGCCACCTGACATTCTCAGACTTGACTTACTTTAGACGTACCATCTAGTCGAGCAGTAGTTTGACCGTCTCACCTGTTTCACAGTGACTTTTTAGGCAATTATTTATTTTGTCTGAACATTTTTCACTTCTTTTCTTACTTGCTAAATAGTTTTCATGTAACAGGCAACACGGGATTTAAAAGGAACACTGAGACATGGTAGAAAATCTGTAGGTTGATGCTGCTCAAATTGAGTGTAAACAAAAAAACAATGTCTGCGATATTAAAGGTGTGTCCCTTTAAACAAATTAATGAAAGTCCCACATGTCCCCAGAGTTTGTATTTGAACTTTCTGCTCATAATACTGCACAGTTCATTCTATCATGCCTATAATAACCCTGGAATGTTTCAGCATCTGTAGCTATAAATCCAACAGTAAGACGACTACAGGAGTCTCTCTCTGCATTTACTCTGTTCAGTGAGCAACAGAGAGCAAGAGGCTGTGCTAAGCTCATCCTGTTTTGGCATCACAAAAGGCTGCAAAAATGAACTGAATGAACTATTTTGTGGGACTCATATTCATGTTGGAAAACAATGAAAAACACGATTTTGCATGAAGTGGCCCGTTAAAGTCAGTCAGATGCAGTTTCCTTGAAAAGCTGTTACTTGATTTGTATCACACCATCATTAACTAATAAACAGATCTGCTGTTGGTCCAGAATTCATGATCTTGTGTAAATACTCTCAGTTATTTCGTGTTTACTGTCTTATTACAATCCTGTGAATCGTCTGTAAAGCACACTAACCTCCATAAAGGTGGTACACATGCAAACCTGGGCTATCCACGACATCAATGCTCTCTTTTGTCTATCATCAGAGTACGCAGAGGCCCTGACCAACCCCATTAAACACGTCAGTGAGCTGCACAAGAGAGAGGAACAACTGGCTGTTTTCTGGGAGAACACCGTTGAGGTGAGCCACATTCATTAACCAAAAAAAAATTTGGCTGGTTTTAGTTTTTTTTAAAAACTGCTTGACTTCGTATTAACCGTGTATCGTACTGTTGTCCAGCATATCCCCAACCAGTTCAAAGACGGAGCGCTCAAGAGCGACAGCATCGACATTTCAGGAAGTGGACTCCCCTCCCCCTCCCATTCTGCCCCCTCCAACCCATTGGATGACGCACCTGACATCAACAAAATACCTGTGCAAGGTAGAAATCCCATTTCCCTGCACACGTCCTCACTTGGTGTTTAAATCAAGGTGTGATCAGACACTTGTAGGCAACTAGAGGCCTCACTTAGCATTTTTAAGGAGCTATGCACAACGTGCAGAAAAACAACATTACAATTTTTAACATGAAAGGCTGTTTTGCTCTTTTCTACAAATGCACTTCAGTGTGACTATTTAGATGTAATCCATGGCAACACTACCTGTCAGCTCGCAGCAATGAAAACAGTGGAATGGTTTATGTTAGCGCTGTGTAAACCTGATGAAAGAAGCAGTAGTATTTACTGAAATGAGCTAATATAGTTTGTTCATTTATGTTTTTACAGTGTGCATAAACTGTGAGCAGCATTTGTCAAGACTCGTCACTGTGTTGTGAAATTCATGCATCTCCAGAGTTACAACTTTTCATGAACTGAAACGTGATCCTTGTAGCGATCCAAAGGGGTTTTACTAGTTTAAGTAAATAACCCATTTATGAGAAACATTCCTTGACTTACATTGAAGCCTGTGTTGTCTTTGCACTGGGTACAACGTGTTTTTTGTGTCTGCTTCATTCATCCATCATTCATTTCACACATGTGTTTGTGTGCCCTCCCTTCCTCTGTTTTCTTTTCTGTGTGTGTCTGTGTGTAGCACAACCTCAGAAGGAGGACCTCATAGCCAATGTTATAGGAGGTAAGGCCATCGCAGCACGTTCATTTCTACACAGAAATGAGTAAAACCACTTTGTTTGTCTCACAGAGCTGTGTGTACAAGTACTTGTTTGAGTTGGACAAGCTAAAGGTGCCAGATTCTATCAAGACTTACGTCGGTGTGCTTGTGTCTCTCAGATATCCACGTCCAATCAGCAGAGGAGCTGAAGCAGCACAAAAGTTATATGAAGCTGTTGAAGAAACAGGGCAAAGAACTCAAAGAGCTGCGTAAGAAACACCTCAAGAAGGTACACCAAACAAAAACACTCAAATTCAGGTTCATATGTGCTTTATTTTTTGCTAGAAACTGGATGTGAAAAATCCACTGTGCTGGCAATGCATTACTACTTCTGCTCGTGTGCTGCAAAACAAATAGTTTTTTTGCTCGTCTGTGGCGTGTTTAGGTGTGGAATGTGAGTAAGGAGCAGAAGAGTCGGAACAGCCAGCTTCAATCCGATACCCAGAGGAGACGCAGTCAGATGGAGAAACACCTCAAACGTAGCATCAGGAAAAAGTAAGAATGGACTGTTTTATAGGTGGATGGACTCAAAACAGTACTGTGTTAAAACAATGCAATGTGCTATTCTGGTAGATTAATTGTAGCAACTGGACTTCAGTTCAGTTCTGATGAAGCCTCTTGGATGAGAGGTGAAACGTCTTCAAGGAACTCAAGCAAGTCCACTTATTACAATTAATCTACCAGAATAACCATGACCTGGATGACTGAGAATCTTCACAGACAATGCAGTGTGCTGTTTTGGAGGAGGATGTTGCACGAGTGAGACATAAAATATGATTGAAGAAGTCCAGTTTGAGTGACATATCTGTGAATCAGACTCCAAAATACTGTGATACAGGAAGCTACAAATTTGGTAAATGCATTTTTTTCCCCTCAGTTTTGGTGCGATTTTATTTACGTAGCACCAATTCATAACATATTTTAAAGCAAACCATATAGTTGGATGAGGACTTTACAAAATTATACCAAGAAACCCAACAATACCTGTTGAGCAGCACTTAGCAACAGTGGAAATAAAATTTTTTTAAAAACCTCAACGTGAAAAACGTCCAGCAGAACCAGGCTCAGGGAAGGCAGACAACTGCTTCGACTGGTCGGAATGAGAGTAAAGAGGATAGAAAACACAGAACTGATGCACAAGAGAATAATAAAAAGAGAAGACACAAACTTAGTGACATGCATAATGCCAAATATATACATGCATAAAGAGGGAAAGTCATGGAGCCTGGTTCAGAGACTCCTGTTTAACACATGCTGGTCTGGTTGAGTGGATAAAAAATACCATATTTTTGAAAAGAGGCCCTTAGTGGAGGATAATATTTGAATAGAAATGAATCACGATGCATTAGATAGAAGCTTCATGTAAAACAAAGACGAATGAGGACGTGGTGGTTGCAACCGACTGAGCCTGAATTCACTTGTGTTCTTCAGCGAGGCCTATGAACCGGTGCAGCGCGAGTTGAAAGAACTGGATCAGGAGCTGGAGAAGCAGACGGTCCAGCTGCGGGAATGGCAGATGCAGGAACTGCTGACACTTCGGCAAGAGCTTCACTCCATCGAAAGAGCAAGGCAACAAACGCACCTGCAGGAGGTAACGACGCGACGCCTAGACCGATCACAGCAGCACGCTTTGGTCTGAAGGAGGGAAAAGCAAAAATGGCAGAACTTTACTTTTGTAGTTCTTTCCTGTCCCTTGCCTGTTTTAGGACCCTCCCTCCAGGCGAAAATAGGCATTAAGCAGAGGGTTTAAATGCAAAAGTCACTTGTAAAGACCTGTGATTGAGCTAGGCTTCCTAAAAAACAGAACCAAGAGGAGTCCAGTTTCCTCTCAGACCAGTTGAATTACAAAATGTTAAAAAGTTATTGTGGATGTTTTTCCCCAATAACAGCAAAACAATCCCGTCTACCTCAGCTTTAACAAAGTGACACTCTCTCTCTCCTATGACTTCTTAAATATACACTCCGAGTTCCTCACAAACTGACCTTTAAGAAACTTCGTGGCACTTGCACAGTGGTACGCTGACAGGTCATCGTCTGCTGCGCTTTGTTTTTAGGCCTTCCAGAAGTTAAGGGAGACGGCTCAGGAATGCCAAGTAGCTCAAATGAAGAAGCTCAAGGAGACGTGCGAGAAGTAAGTTTAACCTTGGACGGCCGAATGAGACAGCAGGACCTCGGATCAGATGCTACTGCCAGCGTGACTTTCTGCATTTAGTTATTATTATTATTATTATTATAATGGTATGATTAAGTTTTCTCTCCTAAAGTCATGTGCAGTAACGTTGGTGTGTTCGCAGGGAGAAGAAGGAGCTCCAGAAGATCCTGGACAGAAAACGACAAAACAGCATCAGTGAAGCCAAGACCCGCGACAAAGACAAAGCTGAAACGTAATAAACCTTTTCTTTTTGTTTCTGAGTAGATAGTGAGATAATTGTTGTCCACAGTCAGTTATCTTTATCCTCTTATTTTCTTTTCAGGGAGCTGAATGAAATCAACAGGAAACATATTCAGGACTCCGTCAACTCCATCCGCGGGGTGAGCAGCCACACTTCAAACCTCCACTCACTCTCTCTCTTATCACCCACCCTCCTTGAGTGTCCATTTATCCAGCTTCCAGTACATTTTTCTGCTGTTGTCATCAACTTCACTTGCACTTCTCTCCCACATTATCGTCTTTTTCTTCCCTCATCCCTGTATGTACTTGTACTTTTTTTTTTTTTTTTCCCCTGGTGTCTGCTAAAACCTTCACTTCTCCTCTCTTCCCTCTGCGCACCAGCTGGAGGAAGCACAGACCAGGAGACATGACAAGCTGACGCTGAGGCAGCGGGAGGTGCTGCAACACATTGAGGATGAGCTTCCACTGGTGAGCACAAACGGCGAATCACACAGTCCGCTCGACCTTCGTGCAAAGGCACAAAACGGCACTTACTGGACCCTCCGTCAGACCTGCAGCTAAACTTGACTGAAGCTAAAACTAAACTTGTTTAATTGATTTTACTGTATTTGACATCTTTGCAATTTGGTTAGTTACGCTCCAGCAAATGAAAGTGACTAAATCGTGCTTGAATCTTTATGATATCATTCATATGCATACCAAAATGTAAAAGTTACTCAACGTACTGAACCCCAAAACCCACCTCCAGGTTTAAAAGGCAAGTTATCTTTTTAAAAAAATCCCCCTGAAAACACTATTTCTGAGCCAGAAACTGTAAAAACTGTGAAAAATGTCCAACATCTCAACAAAGGTCTTGTTATTTCAGACAAAAACCTCCAAATATTAATTTTTTTTCTTACATAAAACCAAGAAAACAAGCAAATTTCAATCTGAGAACCAATTATTTTATGTTTTCTACTTTATTAATAAAGTCATTGTGGCTTCCCTCGTTTTCTATAATGTACTGGCAAATGAAAAACATCAACTTGTTTTTCTTGTTTGTTTGTTTAATAAATTATGAAAACCACAACTTTTAGCAGCGAGCAAATACTTCTAAGTCCAACTGTAGTTTCCTTCATCTACTTAAATTGAAATTCAGTTACAAGAAAATGCTGAAATTAAAAAATTGTACATTAAAATGTTCCAACGCTCCTAGAACTGCTCATCTCTGACATCGGACAACTTGACCAAATCTGAGCTCGTTGAAATTTCATCAAAATCAGTTTACACAATTTCAAACAAAGCAAGGGTGGTGTTTGATTGATGCATTCTGGTCCACTTTGCTTTCTAGTCCTTTGTCCTTGGCATTTAAACAAACAAACAAAACATGTCTTTATGCTAAGCTAAGCTATGCTAAGCTAAGCTAATCACTTCGTGGCAACATACTTCACCCAACATGTGTGGTGTCAATCTTCTCGTCTTATTCTCGGTAACTAGGCAGACAAACAAATTTCCCCCAAATTTCAAGCTACCCCCTAAATAACTGGACACTTGTTGATATTTTCCAGCTTCAGTCTCAGCTGGACCAGGCCCTGAAGGACGAGTACCAGCGACTACCCGAGGAAATCTGCCAGCACCTTCAGCTGGAGCTCCAAAACAAAGGCCTCCGAAAGGACGCCCTCTTCTCGGCCATGTCCAACCACAGCAGCCCCAGCTCGGGCTCGGGCCCTCCTTCTAACTGCTCCACGCCCTCCTACCCGTCCACGCCCAATCGGAGCACCTGGAACAGGAGCATGGACAATAGCATCGTCTCGTTGGCCGACTCCACGTCCTCGTCCACCACGCCCGTCCTATCGGAGGCAGAGATGTCATTCAGCTAAAGTTATTATTACTTGTACAAAGAAAGACATATACATTCAACAGGGGTCTATAATGATTATAATGTGGGATAGTAATGATATAGATTATTTACTAATTTTATTCCTTTTTTTTTATTTTTATTACACACCGTGTTGTCTACAGAGCTATATTATTTTTTAATTTGCAGTTTTTGTCAGATGATGATATTTCATAAGAATCATAACTTCTTTTTTTTAAATTTTATTTTACATTTTCTTGTCTTCGCCGTGCTTTTAATTAATGTCCGATCTGATCCCTTTTGTTTGCCATTTTTCTGTGGTCAGTGCTTCGGTGTTTGCCACAACACAAGCTTTAGATTCATTTTTGCGGAAGCTGTTTGCTTTAAAAACTTTTAGCAGGGTTAGAAAACAGCAGCCCCCAAGACTTTAGGAAAAAGTAAACCAGATTTTTTTTGCTTGTAGCAAAATTGGAACACTGACTTTGCTTTGTAGTGGCTTTATGTCCTTCAGAAGCAACTTAAAACGGAGCCAAAGAAGATGTCTACAAATCCAAACTGCACATCCTTTCTACTCAAAGTATTTTCCAGAAATTGCCATCAAGAGGGAACGTGAAGGAAAAGAGGATGAATATTTTTAGCTGTAATAGCAGCAGCTGACCAGCAAGGGGCGCTGCAGCCTTAACTGTTTCTATTCCTTTCAATCGGTGGTTTGAGCTGCCTGTTCTTCTAGTCTGATAATCCTGTTATACTGTACCCCAACACACACACCTGTGCCGTCAGGATTTGCAGCGTCATTGGCCGGAACAAAATCTGTGGCCTTTAACCTCCAATCAAATCGCAGCCAAGGTTGCGTCGAGGGACGGTCAGCAGACGTCCATCTGGTCGGAAATCATGCACACGAGTGTGTAGGTTTGAGAGTAAAGAGGGGTTATGGTGACGTAACGCTCTCGCTTTCTAAATCATGTGTAAGCAGACATCTCTCTGAACACGCACATTTTATTGGTTCAGAGGCCCAAAGTCTCTTAAATCCCATCCAATCTAGAAAAGCAGAGCACACACACACACATAATAGGCAGAAACCTCGATAATTTTACAAATATCAGAGATTACTAAACTCCACGAGGGTATTTGTGTGTGTGTGTGGCTAGAAGTTAATCTCTTGATGAGGCATCTGCTTTTAGGGACAGCACATGGAAGGAGTGGTGCAGTTAGTTTGCCTCTTTCGGAGCCTGGAAAAGGACATCAGATGCTAAACTAGCAGCGCCGCAGTGGGAGACTTAAAGCTGCACTACGACGTGTTAACAACCCACTCGTCTTTTTAGTCAACATGCTCAAGACGCTTGTAATTTAGACCCTTTCTTGGTTCCGTTTTACTCACGTTCTGCTGCTTTAACTTCACTTAAAGCCTCAAAATCATTTCCATTTTTGTAAATAGACATAGGAATAGGTTATGTAAATTTTCTTGCCCTTTAAAACATCCCGCGGAGCTCCGTCAGCGCGTTAGATTCTCGAGCCAAACGTGGAACTGTGGTGCACAAACTGAACGGTACTTTTTGTTTCAACCAAAGCTGTATTTATTTAGCTTCCCCCCTCCCGCATTTCTTTCCGTCTGTTCCTTGTTTTTGAGGGGTAAATGATGGTACTGTGTAAATGTATTCTGTGTAGATGTGTAATTGTACATGAGTTTTACTACTGACCACAAGTGCTGGTGAGAGACGGAGGTCAGAGAGGGCTGAGAGGTGAAACGAAACTTTAAACATTCAGAGATGCTGTCCTCTCCCACCTTCCTCCTTTGACGAGCACTGGCTGCCTGTCTGTCTGATTACACCCTCCTCCCCCCCATCCTCACACACTTTATGTAAACTGTCATCTATTTAAATGGAATTTTAACAACTTTTCTTTTGTGGTTATTTAAGTTTTTAATTGATGAAAGAAAGTGTCCACTCAGGCTGCTGAAAAATGATGGAGAATCGGTATGTGCATGTTTTTTTTTATTTTTTTAAATGTACCTGAAATCATCACGGAGCTCTGCTTTGTCCTACAACAGGGTATTTTTGAAGCCAGTAACAGTTTGAATCTGTTGGTTTAACTTGTGGGTCAGGACAGCCACAACAACGTACACCCGCCGAGGTCAGCACTTTGTTTAAACGCCGACCTCTTGATCGTTTTTACGGTAGAAGACTGCCAGCCCGCTCACCTCTGTGCTGCACGACTACGTAAATGTTTCTGCTCAGCTTTCTCATCGTGGACACTAAATCTATACAGCGTGTTAAGGATTATTCACTTCTCGGTGGACTCAGAGGTGAAACTGCCAACAGTCTTCTCAGATCAGAAGGTTTATTTGCCAAAAAAAAATGTCCGTACATTCCTCGTTTGCTTTTCGGGTCGGCTTCCGAGCCCAGTGGCAAGTATTCAAATAAACTCCATCTGTTGTCCTTGAATATGACTTGTGATTATCAGGTACTTTAGAGGGTTTGCATTCTTATTCCTGTTGAGGAAAACTAATCTTTTTTTAATGTTTAAATGCACTTTTACCACTCTGTGATGTTTGTGAAAACCCTTTGTTCCTCAATACAACCACTTTCCAATGATTTGTACTTGTTGTGTAAAGTATCAGTAGTTCTCTTTTTTTTTTTTCTCTCGTCAGGAAAAGAGTAGATTTTGAATATTTGTCAAGACACAAGACAGGTTTCCCTCTTTGCACTTTGAGTTTGGATTTACTCGGTACTATTTCCATTAACAATATAAATCGATGTAAAAAAGGCATCACAACGAATGAGCTTTAGTCATTTAACAAAGTCGCATTTTTAAACAAAACTAAGATTATGTGTGGAGCTCCAGTACAGTAACAAACTGGATTATCCAATGTGTTGATCTCAAACTGTTTTCACAGGTGTTCATGTGTGAATTAGTAATACAAGACCAAAACATGAGAGGAATGTGTAATACATAGAGTATATATATACTGTATATGTGTACATGTGTGGAGCATATATACAAACCAAGAGTACTTCAGATATTTAAAATGTTGTTTTTTTTTTCTTTTTAAGGCTCTTACTCTACTGTAGAAATGTACGTTGTTGGTTCTAGGTAGCTGCCAGTGGCTTTACAGTCTGTAGATCAGTGAAGACAGAAGTTGATAATACAGTTTACATGTTTAACTGACAGCTTAATGTTCATTTTTGTGCCTACGGTTGGTACTGTGTGCTCGCTTTGGAGCTGTCTTGTTGGAATCAGTGAAACGATTTTATTGGCATTTTGACCGCACGAGCAGAAGTGACAACTGTAGGCTGTGTATAAAAGATGGACGTGTCTTAAACCTGCATTCTGTCCAACGGCCAGCAGGGGGCGATTCCTGAATGTATAGAAGCCAAGGAGAAAATGATCCTGCTTCTCATTTGATTTGTTACCTCAGTAAACATTTTTGTATTGAGTTTATGGCCTCAATTGCTAGTTTCAAGCCTTTAAGAATAGAACACGATGTTTATTTTGTAAAATACAGTCCCATTTAGAGTTAAATAGATGCTAAAACGGGGTATATTTTAGGGGCTTTCTTGTAATTGTTGGATGTAAGTCAAATCCAGCCGTGTTTAGTCACATCTGCTTTCAAAAGGGCAAAATGGCAATGAAACATTTCCATCCATGAGGCTTCAGAATGGTCGTTGGAAAACCAATGAATGACATCTCGGTAGCTACAGCCATCTTTTCTGTCCAGTCTGTGTATGAATGTATGTGGCGGCTCTGAGACTGGATAGTATATGGTCCCTAAAGTGAAAATGTTGCTCATTTAATACTGTAATTTTTAAACTTCTTAGTACTTGGAAAAAGTACACAAAGTTTGCAGTCCTGTATTATGTGAGTGTAACATATCACCCCTGTTTACATTGGTCAGCCTCGCCTTAAATGAACCAACGAATATTAGATGAATTACCAAGAAATGTGGCACATATGTATTTATGTCACAAACTTCCCAGTAAGCTTCCCTTAGCTTCATATTTATCCCCATCGTAGGACCCAAACTTTACATTTTCCCAATATTTCCAGTTTATGACTAAATACAGCTTTGGAAATAATTACTATACCACTGTAACCACTGTTTTCTGCCTCTTCCTTTGCAGTTCTTGCTGGTGCCATACTGTATACGATTGAGCTACCATTTAATTTGGATGACCTGTACAGCTTATACATGAAACAGTGGTGACTCGAAAATGTGTTCCACCATCTAGTGTGATTTTTGAATGTTTAAAGTGTAAATACATCATATTTTTAAACAGAATTTATTGAATGTATTGACTTATTATTAGACTTTTTTCATGCCTTTAAGAAGATGCTATAATTATTTATCCACTAAGTTAAAATCCCCAAAAATGTTAAGTCCTGTTTTGTCGACTTTCTGTAAGAAATCAATGTGGTCTAATAATTACTTCCAAAGCTGTACACGAGAATTTTGTTTAGGTATAATCAAAAGCTATTGACATGCTAATATGCTAAACAAAGTTGCTGAACATAGTACAAATTACCTGCTAAATGTTAGCATTATCAGCTTGCTAGCATGCTAATGTTAGCTTTTAAAAACACTGCTGTGCCTATTACAACCTTACAAATTCCTTTATGTTTTATTTCCCTTTGACCCTAAATTAAACTGGATTACTGTGGAAAAAAAGCTGTACGGAAAACTAATTCCTGTTATTTCCTGACTGAATGTCTTTAGCTCCCATCGCTAACCTTGCCACTGTTTTAGTTCACTTGAAAACAAGCTTCGACTTTGGCCTGAGCTGCTCTGGCACACTGGGGGGGGAATGAGCGCTAACGCCGCTAGCTAGTTTCCTTCCCACCAGAATGCAGCCCGGGGGGTTGCTTCTTGTCCGCCCTGAGCTTTAACCTCTGTTATTTCTGTCCTGTTTACGGCCAAAGCTCTCATTTAATCCGACACGCACAATATTTTACCGCGACACGACCGCGGCAGCGTAGCATTAGACGCCGCTTCTGCATCACAAACCCTCCTCGACTTTCCTCCTATTAGACATTTGGTGTGACTGGGCTGCCTCCGGCCCACCCCGAGGCCTCTGGCTCTCATGTCTCCCCTTCTTTCCCCACACTGTCCCATTTTCCATTTTCACCCAGTAATGAGACCATCTTTTACTTTTCAAGCGGTTAAATTAATTAAAAGCAGCAGCAGCCGTGTTTGTGCTTCAGACAGCATGCCGTAGACAAGAGTCGTGTTGACACTGTGTATGTAGTGTATATGATTGTCGGACATAAAGGGAATACTATACGATGATCCAGATGTAATATTTTATTGTTCCTATAATTAATATAAAGTATCTGACTGAACGTTCAGTAATAAACTTCCTCTCACGGAGCTTCACCTCTGCTGTTTTCTGGTTTTCTTTGACATGAAGGTTTCTCGCAGCTTTTCCGGGGCACTTGCCTCCCATCCATTTGTAATGAAAAGTGTCTATTATTTAGCATCTTGTGCTGCGCGACGTGTTTGGAGTTAATTGAATCTGACTGAGGCAGAGCTTCACCTTCACACTCTCTTAAGTTCAGAGCGAGTACAGAAGACTGAACTTTCCGGAGGAGCCGCTTTGAAATTACAGCGTACAGTGAGCAAGCTGTTAAAACTAATACGTGCCGTAGTGTGAATTGTAATAGTGGTACAGACACTGACGTCACATTATTTCTCTATTTTGAGCCTCCTCATGACCTGGAAATCGATCTCAGCGCGCCACCTTGAAGGATGTCTCCATTACTAAAAGGCATCTCGGGGGCTGAGGAGGTGAATCCTCTGTATCATCCTTGACGAGTAAAAGAGGCCTGAACCCACAGTGGAAGCAATATATGTGGGTCTTTACCATTCAAAGCACGCCTGTGTTCAATAAATATAAGATGTATGGCATCCTGTCACATTATGCCGCGTTGTGAATTGAATTTGAAGTAAATATACGCTGTGATTTGTCACGAACGCGACTCTGCTCGTGTGACGGATGATAAAACGCAGCGGGAGGCTGTCACGAAGCAACAGACAGACGATGCAGCTGTGCTACACATCGCATCGAACTGAGGCTGCTCTAGAATAAAAGTTATGATCCAAAGGGTGGATTATTGAGCAGCCTGTTGCCTTGACTCGCCTCTCCTGCACCTCTAGGAGGCAAGGAGACGAGGCAAGGAAAGTGAGGAATTTACTTAAATGAACCTCAGTTAAATTATTGAGATTTTTCATATTTTATTTATTAACCCTCTCAAAAACTCAGCAGTGGGTCTGAGAGACACGGTACTTAAAAAAACAACAACAAAAACAACAGAAAGAATCACTGGATGTTCAATTTTCCAACAGTCATTGAACTAATCACGTGTGATGTTCAGGTGAGTTGGGAAAATTGCTCAAATTTAAAGCTTCAAATTGTGATATTTTAACAAAATGATTTTCATTCCAACACTCTACATCCCAGAAATAAACTGTTTTCACAAGATCCTGGAGAAAATGTTAAAAAAGCTGAGCTCTTTAGTGCCACTAAGAGTGATTCAAGAAGGCTGTCGATATGAATGTAGCATCGCCTAAAAACAGAGAAGCAGGTTGTTGAAGACACATTCAGCTCAGTGAAATATCTTTATTCTTGTACTATGAACACTGTGTAGTTTGTTAAAGTTATAAAAAAAAACTGTGAATGCTTGAGGTTCAGAGGGTCACGCTGTGAATTCAGTCACTTTCTGTTTGTGTTTCATTCAACAAACCAATTACAGGATTTGATTTCCTCTATAGTCTTTCTGACACAATCTTCTGACCAGGTGTTTTTTTCTAAATCATACTTGAGACATTGGAGCAGCTGGTGAACGTAAATTTAAATGTATGCTCTTAAAAAGATGATTATTCAAATTTCCTTCTATAGTCATACTTCAGTGTGTTTGGAGTCACTCAGGACAGACTGAGGGGCAGAAATTATTAATATTATTATTAATATTAATATCATATTCACATGTGCATCCTCGTCAGGAATAATGTATTATAATTTAGAGGCTGGTCAGTATGTTCTGCATGTAAAGTGGAAATAAGCAGCATCTAAAGTCGTCAAATGGAAGAAAAACTTTGATATTTGCCTCTAAAACGCAGCGAGGTCGAAGCATAAAGCACCATGAATTGGAAATACCTCGTAATTGTACTCAAGACAGTCTTCTTTAATCTTCATTACCGCTTCGTTAGCGCTGTTCTGCAGCAGAGCCCGACCTCTGACCTCTTCAGAAATGAGACATAATCCACCCAGAGGGAGCGTTAACATCATTAGAACAATAATCATAACAGACAACTATTCCTTAAAGTCAGTGGGGGGGAAGAAAAAACCACTTGAGCTGTGATGGAAGCGGCCCGTCTGGCTTCAGCTTGAGATGTGAACAACCTGGTGGTCCTGAAGGAGCACAAACGTCCGTCATTACTCTTATGTGACGCACTTCCATCGTTGTTCTGATGTGTAATTACGAGCCTCCAGCCGTTTCCTCTTTATATGTACGAAGCAGCAAACGGCAGCTCTGGACCGTTGCAGGGTGTGTGTTGTAATGTGTGTTCCCGCTCGCTGATCGATCAATAACGAGGATGACTTACTTACTGTAAAGCCATGAGAAGGGACGCCTGACGTACGCCGTCATCCGTTACTCAGCAAAGAAAAGACACCGTTACCCAGCTGACAGCTTTATTTCCTCCCTCATCCTCTGCTGGGCAGGGTCGGCAAGGTGAGTCAGGAAGTATAATCCATCACTGATTACCTGCTGCAAATCCGCAGTAATCAGCCGCACAATAGAGCCTCAGAGGAGGAGAATTGGTTTTGGTTGGTGGAGGGGAGGATTACGTACATTTTTATCCCGAGTCGGTATCCTGATTATCATTTCAAAACATCCTTCTAAACAAATCATGTGAAAACTGACTCCGGTCTCTCCACCTTGTTTTAATCATCAAATTTCTTCTGGAGGCAGATTAATTGACGAACTTTGGCGACACTGTGTTGAGATTAATTTGCAATAAAACACGTTAGAAAGTGAGAAATGATGAAGGAGGGGTGAGACTGGCTGCTCGTAATAACACACGAGCTCCCTGGAAAACATGATTCGTTAAATCTCGCCGTGCATTTTTCTTTTTTGCATCTTCAGCATCTCGGATAAAATGAGGCTGTTATTGATGCATGAGGTTGATTTAATACAGACACAAGGCTCTTCTTGTCGTCACTGCTGAAGTCTCATAAACTCTCACTCAAAGATCAGGAAGCAAAACGAACTTTAATTGCTGTAAAACGAAGCAAAGGGATGAACAAATCCTTCTGTGGTGCTGAAACCAAGCAGCTGTTTTCTCATTCTTCTTAATGATCAACACAAATAATGACACATAAAAGCAAAATGAAGGCTTTATAAATGTTGTATTTGTCGTTTCTGACAATAAAAAAAATGGAAAAAAAAGGCTCCTTGTGTGTTTTTTGTGATCTTAGCTGTTGTTGAAGATGAATTTCATTCAACTGCTCTTCCTACCAAATAAGATCTAATTGAAGAATTTGTTGTTGTTGTTGTCTGAGGCTGTTATGTTGAGCTTTTTTTTAAAAATTTGCAGCCTTTTGTTTTGGTCTGGCAGCTCAGACAGAGGACGCTGCAGCAAATATATTCAGATTTTTTTTTAGGGATTTAAGGATGCCTTGTTAAGAGTGTTGTGGGGCTCAGGAACCAAAAAAGGTGAGGACGCTGAAACAATCAGTCCTGTTTTGGTTCCTCCTTTTCCTCCATCTTCTTATTTCAGGACAATATTTTATCTTCATCCTCCACATCATTCCTCTCTCATCCTCCTTCCAGTTAATCAGAAGTCGTACTATTTTTCTGTTGGCCATCCCTCCATTTCACCCTGTTCGTCTCGATTCATCCCGAGCTCCTTCTAAGCCTTCTCTTTGTCTCGGTCACAGCCACAGCTCTCTTTCTGTGATTGCATCTGTTTCTTTCTATCCTTTGCCCTCTCTGTCTCGTCATCCTCCTCATCCTGTCGCCTTGGTCTGCCTGCCTCTCTGTCCTCTACAATGTTCTCGCTGGCGTTGCTGTTTGATTTCATCTTTTCAAAGTCTCTGAACAGCACAAGAAATCAGGTTTCATTTAAAATACACATTGTTGCGCATTGTCTATTCGTTGTTAGACCTTTTAGGGACATGAGGTCAGGAGAGGGAAAAAATTCAAGTATAATAGTATAATATGGTGTCGAAATTCCGACAAAAACAACATGACGTTTATCGCAAAAAAATAAGTACGGGAACGG